CTAAACACGTAAGATATACTTATACATATGGGTATATATATACATATGTATCTGCACACATATGCGTATAATAGGAAACATATATGAAGACAACTCGCAATAGAGTAGCACGTGGCAGGCGATCAATTGTTCGATTGCTTCAATCCGTCCTGTCCCCTCCCCCTCCTTCTCCCTCCCTCTTCCCCTCGTCCGCAAGACACGCATGTGTGAGCTCACGAGGGGTTTACCCCTCCCCCTACCCCCTCCCCTGGACCTGGACGGGGCGCCCCGTGATCGGTCAGAGCGTCCCAGATTGCCGAGGACGGCTCCAAGAGAGCCCAGAAGAGCCCAAGATGACTTCTAAGATGGCTCAAGATAGCCTAAGATGCCTCAAGAGGCGCGTGTACGGCTCCAAGAGGCGCCCAAGGGGCCTCCAAGAGGGTCTCAAGAGACCCCCCCCCCGAAGCACCCAAGACGCCCAAGAGCCCCCTGGACAGCCAAGAGAACTCCAAAACGCCCCAGGAGGCCTCCAAGGAGCGCCCTACAGATATCCCAAGAAATTCCGAGAAGCATCCAAGAGGTTTCTGGCATTTTTGTTCGCCCTTCTCCTCATTCCTCCTCCGTCTCCTTATCCTCCTCCTCCTCATCCTATTCATCATCATTTTTCCTCCTCCCTCATCCATCCATCTATCCTCCGTCTCCCTCCTCCTTGTCCTCATTTTCCATCCATCCACCCACACACCCACACACCCATCCATCATCCATCCATCCATCCATCCATCCATCCATCCATCCATCTATCCGCCTCTTCCTTTTCCCCCTGCTCCTAAATCACAAAGTGTCGAGTGTGGTCCCAAAACGACCAATGAGGGCCAAGACGGCCCAAGACGCCTCCAAGACGGCCTGAGAGGCCCCCGAGACGGCTCCAAGAGTGTGCCTAAACGGGGACCCGAACGGACATTTCGAGCCCTCAGCCCCGAGAGGCTCCCGGGAAGCCCCAAGAGGCGCCAGGAAGCTCTCCAAGAGGCTTCAAGAGGCCCCCCAAGAAGCCCCCAGTAAGCTCCAAGAGGCTCCCCAGAGGCCCCCTCCGTCGTCGCCGCCGCCGCTGTTGTCGTCGTTCCCTTTTCAGGGTGGGCGGCACCAGCCGTGAGGCCTCCGCAATATCTGGTTCCACGTCAAGGATCGATCGAACCTCTGTTCTAGAGATTCGGGGTTCGAGGCTTTCTGGCCTTCCTCATGGGACGACTGGGCCCTCCTCATGGGGCAGGTCCGCAGGGGGCGGCTGGGCCCTCCTCGTGGCCACGACCGGGAACGGCGGCGACGGCGGCATCGGCGGCGGCGCTCCTCCTCCGCCTCCGCCTCCACCTCCGCCTCCTCCTCCACCTCCTCCTCCCCCTCCTCCTCCTCCGCCTCCTCCTCCCCCTTTTCCTCCTCCTCCTTCTCCCCTCCTCCTCCTCCTCCTCCTCCTCCTCCTCCTCCTCCTCCTCGATTTCGATTCCGATTCCCTTTCGCCCATGGGGCCTCAGGAGGTCTCAGGAGGCCCCATGACATTTCAGCAGTCACTAGGGGGTCTCAGGAGGCCCCAGGGATTCCCAGGAGGCCCCCAGGAGAATCTACGAGGTTCCAGGAAGCTCAAGAAGGTCTCAGCATTCCAGAAATTCAGGAAACCAGGTGGCTCAAATGAGTCAAAACTTCTTTACAGTCTTACAAGGTTTGAACATGTAAAAGCGTAAGCACCCTTCTCGTAACTTAGAAGAATTACAATTTCTGAAACTTGTTACACTGCCTGGTCGCTAGATCCCCAGGTCACCAGGGGTTTCAACAGTTTCATGTGTGAAACATTTTAATGAATCAAAATATTCAAACTTCCCAGAAGTTTCAAACTGTTTAATGTTTAAAGGCTTTTGATAATCCCTTTGCCCTGGATTCCCAGATCCGCAGGATCCCCCTGCACTCAGGAAACCCAGGGTTACAAACGTTTGAAAAACACATTTGGAAATTTCAAAAAGTAGAAGTCTTCACATTGTTACACACCCAGTTGTAAAACTGTCGGAAAGCCCTGGGCCCTGGGCCCCCAGATTTTCAAGATTCCAGGAAAACCTAAGGCACCCGGGGAGGAGGAGGAGAAGGATAATATTGAGGAAGAGGGGGAGGAGGAGGAGGAGTAAGAGGAGGAGGAGGAGGAGGAGGAGGAGGAGGAGGAGGAGGAGGTCGAGGGGGCGGGGTCGACCGTGCTCTCCCCCCCATGTCTGGTATGTGGTCGTCCGCTGACTTTCACCATCAATATCGGGAGCTGCGATGCGCGCGCAGGTGGAGGAGGATGAAGGGAAGGAGGGAGGAGTGTCTTTCAAGCCCCCAAGATGGTATCCCCTCATGGTCGCCGATTCCCTCAGGACCACATGGGGCGGGGCCTCCACCGCCTGGGCCGTCACGCCCACCAGGGCCTGACGCCTTCGACGACCTTGCTGTTTTTTCCCTACCTAGGCTCTGCCTAGAAGGGTTCTTACCCTCTAGCTTAAAGGGGCCGGGCAGTGTAAACCGCCCCGGGCGGTTCCCCCGGCATCCGCCCCGCGGTTCCCCCAGTTACGTCCCCTTAGCTTAGCGTTGCTTTTTCCATACCTAGGCTCTGCCTAGAGGGTTCTTACCCTCTATCTTAAAGGGGCCGGGCAGTGTAACTCGCCCCGGGCGGTTCCCCCCGCGTCCGCACCGCGGTTCCCCCAGCCCCCTGGGAGCTTTAGCTTTAGCTTTAGCTTAGCTTTAGCTTAGCTGTAGCTTAGCTTTAGCTTAGCGTTAGCTTAGCTTTACCTCAGCTTTGCCTTAGCTTTTACTTAGCTTTATCTTAGATTTAGCTTAGCGTTAGCTTGATTTAGCTTAGCTTCAGCTTAGCTTCAGCTTAGCTTCAGCTTAGCTTTAGCTTAGCTTCGACTTAGCTTTAGCTTAGCTTTAGCTTAGCTTCAGCTTAGCTGTAGCTTAGCCTTAGCTTAGCTTCAGCTTAGCTTCAGCTTAGCTTTAGCTTAGCTTTAGCTTAGCTTTACTGTTACTACTATTGCTGCTTTCCTAGGGGCTCCAACTCCTAGGTATGGTCGCACTGGGATAATTCTGTGTTATATATACATATATATATGTGTGTGTGTGTGTGTGTGTGTGTGTGTGTGAATTCTGTGTTTCTGAAATTCAGCGCGTTGACGGTCCTTCAGTTTTTGCCACGAAAGACTCGACAGCCGGGACTGCGCAAGGGTACGTCCGAAAGGGAGCGGGGGGGGGCGATAGGGGTGGGTGGGTGGGAGATGCTACTGGTCGGCCGTGCCCTCCCCCCCTCCCCCTCATCCCTCCTCCCTTCGTCCCCTCACTGTGGCAGGCACACCTCTCACACGTTTCGTGGCCACATGGGGAGCTCCACCGAAGGCCCCAGCGGCACGGTTCGCATGCCGCCCCCTTTTCATGTTGGCACACCCTTCGCACGTTTGGCGTCGAATCGGGAGCTCCACCGAAGGCACTAGTGGCATGGTTCGCATGCCGCCCCCCCCTCCACTTTGGAACACCCCTTACGCTTCATGGCCCCACAGGAAGCCGCACCGCAGGCCCCAGCGGCATGGTTCGCATGCCGTCCCCCCGTCCACTTTGGCACACCCCTCACACGCTTCGTGGCCCCATAGGGATCTGAAACGAAGGCCCCAGTGGCATGGTTTGCATGCCCCCCCTCCACTTTGGCACACCCCTCACACGCTTCGTGGCCCCATAGGGAGCTCTACCGAGGGCCCCAGCGGCATGGTTCGCGCCGCCCCCCTCCACTTCGGAACACCCCTCACGCGCTTCGTTGCCCCACAGGAAGCCGCACCGCAGGCCCCAGTGGCATGGTTCGCATGGCGTCCCCCCGTCCACTTTGGCACACCCCTCACACGCTTCGTGGCCCCATAGGGAGCTCCAACGAAGGCCCCATTGGCATGGTTCGCATGTTGCCCCCCTTCATTGTGGCGCACCCCTTCGACGCTCCACCGAAGGCCCTCCTGGCCCCATAGGGTGTTCCATCGACGGCCCCAGCGGCATGGTTCGCGTGTCGCTCCCCGCCCTTTTCGGCACACCCCTCACACGTATCGGAGAGCTCAACCGAGGGCCCCAGTGGCATGGTTCGCATGCCGCCCCCCCCTGCACTTTGGCACCACCCTCACACGCTTCGTAGCCCTATATGGAGCTCCACCGAGGGCCCCAGCGGCATTGTTCGCATGCCGCCCCCCTTCACTTTGGCGTACCCCTCACACGCTTCGTGGCCCACAGGGAGCTCCACCGAAGGCCCCAGTGGCATGATTCGCATGCCGCACACCCCTCACACGTTTCGCGGCCCTCTAGGGAGGTCCATTGAAGGCTTCAGTGGCATGGTTTGCGTGCCGCCCACCCCGTTTTGGCACACCCCTCACGCGTTGCGTGGCAACACAGGGAGCTCCACCGCAGGCCCCAGCGGCATGAATGGCATGCCGCCTCCCTTCATTTTGGCACACTCCGCACACGCTTCATGGCCCCATTGGCAGCTCCACCGAAATCCCCAGCGGCAGCGCCTGCATGGCGGCCCCGCCCCATCGCGGCGCACCCTTCTAGCGCTTCGTGCCCATAGGGGGTCCCAACGAAAGGAGTTCTCACAACGGCGGCATTCACAATTGCGTAGGGTTGGGTCCGTCGCCCGGATCATTTATGTTTTTGGGGGGAGGGGAGGGCAGGGAAGGGGAGCCAGGGAGCCGAGGTCCTGACTCCTCCAGCGTTGCTGTTGGATTTGACGGCGCGGGAGAGGAGGGAGGAAGGAGGCGAGGCAAGGGGTGCAGAGGTGGCCTAGTATCCCCTTCTAAGTTTAGTTCGCATCTGAGCCCGTAGTTCTCCACCGACAGGACTTCCAAGTGGGCTCAAATATTGATTGATCCGCCCGGCCGTTGAATGGGCTTGATCCTTGGTCTACGGCCGAGCTGGCGCAGCCACATAAGGGGCTCAGGAGGGAGCCTTGCGAAGGAAGAGGAGGGATGTGGACCGGAGGGATGAAGGTTGGCTGGTTGGGAGGGAGTTTCAAAAGCGTGGACTGGAGGAGAGGGACGCATTCTGATTGTCAGATGTTGCCTGCATATGCCTGACACCACGCTCGTAGCGAAACCGTTGCCTCCGGGGAGGAGGGAGGGGAGGGATGGGGTAGGGGGGTACGTCCCCGGGGAAGGAGGAGTATTGGAAGGAGGGTAGGGGGGAGGTATCCCGTCCCCCCTTCCCCGCGTTCCCAATTCTTCCTTCCCTCTTCCCCTTCTCTGCCCCTTCCTTTTCCCCTACTTCATCTCTGGCATCGTTCCCTCCCTCTCCATCGGGAGCGGGGAGGGCGGGCAAACACAGCTGGGTCGTCGAAGCGAGGGAGCTGGTTTTTGGTATGCTGTTGTATGCGAAGCAGGCAATCCCGACCAATGTTGATGGGCGCTCTGATTGTATGACATGCGGGCCCCTCACCGAACAGCCCCCCTCAAGTACAGTCACGAGGGGCGGCGTTCGGGGAGCGGTGCAGAACTGCTCAGAGCTTCCCAGGGGCGCCAAAATCTTTCATGCATTATGGAAGTCGTCGAGAACCACGAAGGATCAGCAGGGGCCATAGAACTGACCTGGCCCTTTCCCACTCCTCCTGCTGGGTTGGGTTGGGGGGGCTTCCTGATTCCACTGCATCTCTGGAGCTCCGTCTGGAGGTCGGAAAGAGCGTGTTCTGCCGCTGCTGGCGGAAAACCGGGGGGGGTCACTACCTGTTCGAAGCCCCCCCGGAAAACCGGGGGGGGTCTTCGGTTCGAACCCTCCCCCCCCCCAGTCCATCATGAAAAGGGGGGGCCACTACCGGTTCGAACCCCCTTCCCCTCCGGAAAACCGGGAGGGGTCAGTACCGGTTCGAACCCCCCCCCCTTCGAAAACCGGGAGGGGTCACTACCGGTTCGAACCCCCCTCCCCCCCCCCTTTCGCTGCTGGGCCGGGGAGAGTGGGGACATAGACACATTGCTGTGGGCACTGGTGGGGACAGCCGGGGACAATGGTGGGAACAGTGGGGACAGTGGGACAATGGTGGGGACGGTGGTGGACAATGGTGGGAACAGTGGGGACAGTGGGACAGTGGTGGGGACGGTGGTGGTGGGGACAGTGGTGTGGGGACAGTGGGAATGTGGTGGAAACAGTGGGACAGTGGAGGCTGCAGTGGTGGTGGGGACAGTGGTGAGGGCGGTGGCGAGGACGGCGGTGGGACAATGGGACAGAGGTACAGTGGGGTCATTGGTGGGGACAGTGGGGACAGTGGTGGGATCAGTGGGACAGCTCAGTGGGACAGAGGAGGAGGCAGTGGGACAGTGGGGACAGTGGGGACAGTCGGGCAGTTGATGGGGCCGTGGAGAAAGTGGAGGAGAGTGGAACCGTGGTGGGAACAGTTGTGGGGACAGTGGGGACAGTGTGACAGTGGTGGGGGCACTGGTGGGGACAGTAGGGACGGTGGTGGAGCCAGTGGGGACAGTGGTGGTGAGGACAGTGGTGCTGGGGACAGCAGTGGGGGATGTGGTGCGGACGGTGGTAGGGACCGGGAGTCGTTTGCTGGCGGGAGGGGTAGGGGTTCGATCCGGTAGTGACCCCCTCCTGGATTTCGAAGGGGGGGGTCGAACCAGTAGTACCCCCCCCCTGGTTTTCGGGGGGGGGGGTTCGAACCGGTAGTGACCCCCCCTCGGTTTTCCGAGGAGAGGGGAGGGGGGGGGGTCGAACCGGTAGTGACCCCCCTCGGTTTTCCGGAGGGGGGGTGGGGGGGGTTAGGGGAGGGGGGGGGGTGCTGGTGGAAGGGGGGGGGACAGGATAGAGGTGGGGGACCCCCGGGTTCTGGAGGAAGAGGGGGGGGAATTGTCCACAGTAAAGCGGCGGTGGATCACGCTCTCTCATCGCGACGTGGGCCGTTTGATGCGGACCCCAGCGCCCCGCTCCGTGCTTCCAGAGTCTCAAGTCAAGCAGTGGCGAAGCGTCCGGGCTCGCCGATAGCCCTACCAAACAATGTTCTAAGAACATTGTGTGGTTTCCACGAAATGTTCTTAGAACATTTCTGGCGGAGTCTGTCTTGCTTCAATACATCGGGTTTATGTTCCAACAACATTGCTTTTGTTATTCGAGCATTTTTGGGTTCTAAGAACATGTCGTGGTAGGACTATAGGAAGGCCGGGACGGTCGGTCCCTGCTCAATAACGACAGGATCGAAAACCAGCCGCCCTGATTGTCGTCAAGATTCTGGAAGTTCTCGGAAGCACGTACTGCTTACCGAAAGACGTTTTGGGTAGGTTGCCTATCCCTTGAGACCAAGCAGGTGGCACCGACACCAACGTCTTCTTCTGGGGGGTATTGGTGATACTCGACTGGTAGTTGTGATAGTATTTAGGTCACCTGAGCGGCCATCATGTGACCACCATCGTGGCGCTAGGACTGAGGCCTGGCAGAGCTTGGGGCTGCACACAGACAGTCCAGCTGATGTAATTCAGGCTGGCCTCAGCAGGCCCCCGCCGGATCTGAGGTCGGGAGTCTTCGGCCAATGCACCACCGGAGCGCGGATCGCCCCAGGCTCGAGCTGGCGGCAACGGGGGGGCAATACACGTGGGAGGATCGAGGATTTCAGCAGAGTGGCCACCAGTCGTTCGCTGCCTCCCGCCATCGAACGTGCGATGGAGGAGCCGTCAGAGGCGGCGCGGGGTTCCGGGGATACCCCCGGGAGCTACCTGTCGAGGCCAACATGCGCTCCCTCTGGAGGCACTCGCGCACTGCCCGAGGCCCTGCCAGGGACGATCGCCGAGGTTTTTGACACCTGGACCTCTCGACTCGTCTCCCCAGACCTGGGTTCGTTTGTCGGTCAGGACCGCTGGACTCGCTTTGGACACTCTAGGCGGCCAGGGAGCCCGAAACTGGTCTCCAAAGGGCAAGGATTCAGGAAGAAACTATCGTTCCGCTGTGTCTGCGACGCTGCAGATGTGCGTGCCCAGGGGGCTTGCAAGGCCCCCCTTGCCGGGCCCGATCGCGGAACAGTTCAAATCTTCGCTCCCCGAACCCCCAGCTCCGCGGCGCGCAGATGGGCGGCTTTCTAAGACGAGGAGGGCCCTTTTCAGAAGGCAGTGACCTTCTTAGGAGGCACCGCAGGCTTCTAAGAAGCCTTCTTTGAAGCGGGGGGTCTTCCAACAAGCTCCCTTCCTTCTCAGAGGCCATCACCGCTTCTTAGATGGCGGCAGCTTCCCCTCTCGCCACCCCCTGGTACCCGCCGCTAACCAATCTCCTAAAATATAACTTGGGCGAGCTGGCCCATCCGCTAATTATCGCATGTTCGGGGAGTGCTGACCGTTTCGCAATCGCACGCTGCCGCGCGCTGTGGTTCTAGCTTGTTGCGCCCCCCTGTGGCGGACAGATCGTGCCCCCCCCCCTAGGGCGGACAAGGCTGGGGCCTCTTCCTCACCAGGCAGTCGGTCAGGAAAGCCGGCAACAAAGATCCAGAGCTGCTGAGCGCCTCGGATTTCTGGGTCCAAACAGGGCGCCCAGCACCGCCCCCCGCGCCCCCCGTGCAGGTCGCCTCTTATCGGGCGCTGTGCGCCGCGGCGCGCGGGGGCGACGGCTCGGCGCTCACGCTGGTCGTGGCCCTCAGGCTCCCCGGGGGCAACGTTAGGGAGGGGGACGGGGGACGGTTGGGAGGTTCGAGGTATTCTCAAGCAGTGGCGAAACGTCTTGGCGTGCTTATAGGCCTACCAAAGAATGTTGTAAGAGCCTTCTGTGGTGTCCACGAAATGTTCTTAGACCATGTCTAGCTGTGACTGTATTGTTTTAACACATCGGGTTTATGTTCTAAGAACACTGCTTGTACTTAAAACTTGTTGGGGGTCAAAGAACATGTCGTGATAGGCCTGCTCAAAATTCGGTCGTGTTCGTTGGTGCTCGGCGGCTTTCCAGCGTCCAGGGGGTGCCCAGACTGTCCCTAACGGCAGGCGGAGAGCAGAGTTGCTGCCTGAAAGCCAGTGGGACGACGTTTTCGGGAGCTTGTCGGTGATGCTTCTATCGCCGACATCGTGATCTTAGATTGCAAGCTGGTCTTTGACGGTATATGATTTCAACATTGTACATAGGAAGTCGAATGTGTTACGCTGGCGTCCGTTTGGTTGCAGCAGGGAGTCTTCATTGATATCCAACCCGATGCAGGTCCATGCGGGTGCACAACACACATGCTGGCTCAACAAACCGCTCTACGAGTAATGATAACGTCATTCTTAACGCCTATCGCTCCCCTCGTTTTCTTCTGCTGCCGTGCCCATCCGTTCCAACAGAAGATTGGCGGTGCTTGTTGTTATGAACATACCATGATATTTGTGTTTCTTGCTGCCTCTTCTGGTTATGGATACAACGTTCGCGCGCGCGCCCGCCTCTCTTCCCTGTTGGGGCTTTTTTGCACAATCGCACACAAGTGCCTTTCAGTAAATCTGGTTACTTGATATCCGTCTCCATGTCGAGGTCCCCATGATCCGTATTATGGTTTGGGACCGATTTTCGATCACATCCGTGTGCAATACAAGCAACATGAGCATCAGACACCTCTTTCTTCCATGGACATCGTAAGTATGTGTTTAAGTCTGGTTTTGGTTATCAGTCGAAATAATCACTACGAGGTCTCGCGACTGTGTCCTAAGCCTCGGAGGTGTTGGGACCAAACAAGTACGGAATGATGACGGACCCGAATAAGATCACAATCGGAGGAAGGGATACAGGGCCCGTTTCCCCCCTTACGTTGATAAGGCGAGCACGAACAGAGTGAAGTGAACTTCGCGGCGCGTCTAGTGACTGCGTCATTGGCGTAGCCGAGGGTCCTCCGCATAATGTCAGCAGGCCAGATTCCTGTGGCCGTGCAGGCTCGCCATCGAGCAGTAGCGCGGGCTGCCGAAACACGCCGCGGGAGGGCGATCCCGCGGAGGAAGCGGACACGGAGTGGCACGGCAGTCGTGGATTCCCACGGACCCCATTCTCCGCATCGATTGACCAGGCTTACGCGGTTAATTCCGGTTGTTGTTTCCCAGGCGGCGCAATGTCCGTTTCGTCGGAGGTTGACGGGTCAGTTAAGTCGACGCCGCGTTTTCTCTGTAGTTATTGCGGGGAGATGTCAGCCATTTGGCATGCCACCGAGCATTTGTTGGGCCAACAAACGACTTACGGTGGTTATGCTGCCGAGCCCCCCCCCCTTCGACACCCCACCGCTACGGCGAGCGGCCCAGCCGAAGCGTCATTTCAGGAATGAATGAATGAACACACACACACACACACATATGGATATATATATATATGTATATATATATATATCCATATATATACAAAATATCACAGCCAGCCCGCATAGCAAGGTGCCTCCTCGGTCCATCCCTGGCCAGTGTCGCTGGCCGCGACCCGCTGGCATGGTGACGACATGGCCTTCCAAGGCCGTTGCGTCCTCACCGAGCATCCTTACTACGCGGGTTAACTGTATGCCGAACGGGGCAGAGGTGGGGGATCTGAGAGGATCGGCGTGCAATCGGCCGCGGCTGTCCCTCGACCCGACAGGGAAGCGGTCTGAAATTGCTGCCCCCCCACTTGCTGCCCGCGACTGCTCGGCGCATCATGGGTGGGAGTGGGAAGAGGCGGAGGAGCGGAAGCACGGGGCGGGGATCGCCGAGAGAGACATAGATTTGGCGCGCGCGCTGGGGAAACTCGCACTGGCCGACTCACAGCTGCGAGCTGCCGCGCGCCTGCAGGCGGAAGCAGACTGCGCCGAACATGCGCGGGCTTTCTGGGGCATGGAGACGAGGCAGCGGGCGGTGTTCTCGGAGCAGTCTTCGAAGGCGCTGGCAGAGCTGAGGGAGCGTGGCCAGCAAGGCGGAGGCGTCGGTTGCGATCGAGAGGCGCGCCCGGGATCTCAACGGGAAACGCCGCGGAGGAGGCCGGGCCCGCGATCTGGGAGGGCCGCCGAATCGCAGGCCGTCGCTCGACAGGGGGCCGCACTGGAGCTCAAGTCGTCGCGGGCGACTGGCGCGACGGTCGACGCCGAGGTTCAGGAGGCGCCGCGGAATGCCCGAACCGAGAGAGCTGCTGTAGGTGCGTCTGTTCTGCGCATTGCACAACAGATCATGGCGACGGCGGAGAAGGCCGAGAAGCAGATAGCAGGCGCGCGACACGAGATGGGGATGCTCGCCGGAATGGCCGGGTCAAGCTGCGCTCGAGTAGCCGCGGAGGCACGAGGTGCCTTGGGACAAGTCCCTCACGCGAAGTGCCATGCGAGCCGCGAGGCGCTCGCAGCGGCCCGAACCGTCGAGGCGAGGGCTGAGCAGCCAGACCACGAGAGCTGGGGGGGCGCAGCGTGAATGATTTTTCCGGGAACACTCTGGGCATCGCGATAAGCGGGAGCTGCAGCAACGCCTCGTGCAGGCCAACGGTGGCGCGGTACGCGCGACGAGATCTCTTGCGCCGGTGAGACGTGGAGCGGGTCAGGGAACCGCCCTCGTTGCAGGGGGCTGCGGTCGGTCGCGTCATCTGTGTCGATTTCGGGTGAGTGCGGCGAAAGGCGGAGCCCCGCGACGACGTCGCGTCGGTTGAAGATCGGACGCGACCGTCGACGAAACGACCGACAAGTGGCAACGCGACAACCGTGAGCGCGCCAGGGCTCCCCCTCCCCTTCGCCGAATAAATCAACGGTTAAATTACTGGGTCGAAAAGTTAATTTCTGACTTTCGTACTTTTCCACGAGACGCGATAATCGACATCGACCAGCACATAATCCATAAGACCCCCCTCTTCGCGCGATGATGGTGATTACCGCGATGTGGGCGGCAACCAAGTGGGCGAAAAGGGGTATCCATTCTGGGGAATTATAATAACGGGAGCCCCATGCTTCTGCGCCATCGAGTGAAATGACCCTATCCTATCATATGGAGTTCTCTACAACCACGAATGATATGTAGGTCGAGCAGTAAGGGGGGAGGTAAATGAGGGAAGGGTGAGGAGGAGGAAGAGGAAGAGGAGGAACAGGAGGAGGAGACGGAGGAGGAGGAGGGGGGAGGGAGGAGGAGGTCGATAATCAAATTTCCCTGGGATTTGTTACCAAATTACTTAACGATCGCCTGGAAAGAAGGGCCCTTCAGAGTTATTACGTTTTCGGTTGATGCCCCCCCTTTCTTATATACAAAACATGTGTGACTGGCGTCCTGGCAGTGAGGCCGGACGTCTGGTCATTGTGTGCAGAGCGTTCTTGAGGGCTGGTGCGGCGCGATAGCACGTTATACAGGCGGGCGCATGTTAACCGGCTTTGGCTAGTTCCACGGACAATGCCGGTGGTAATTCCACTCTTTCCCCGGGCGCCGTGAAACGTTGTTGCGGTTGTTGCCGCGGGGGGCAATATGCTTTGGGGCGGAGTGAAGCCCGTCATCGACGGGGCTTACCGAAACATGTGAACGCGCCCCTTTCGCATTATCAGCCTTGGCGCGTCGGGCAGGCCTCCCAGGGCGCTGATTGCGTGTTAACCAGCGTGCTGACGCCCGTTTGTGCGCGGAGGCCCCGCGCTCGGACGGCCGCGGGGGGGAGTCATTCCCAACGCTCCCGTCGCCCGCTTTGTTGCGCCGCCCGCCGCCCATCCCCTCCAGCAGAGTGTCGGCTGCGCCCGCTGCTACAAACATAGCATGAGATTTGCGGAGGCCTCACGGCCGGTGCCGTCGACCCTGAATGGCGACGGCGACGACGACGATGCCGACGGTATTTTGTTACGTGCAGCCTTCTTTGCTTACAGGTGTTACCGCATATTCGCTTACTGGATATCAATAGCCATGCCCAGGCCCCATACTCCGAGATTTAATTGTGGATGTACTTTAGATCGTGCCCCAATGCATGAAGACAAACATGAACATCATAATCTGTTCCTGCAGATATCCGTCTTCCTGGCTGCGGAGTAACTCGGCAAATGTTGGTAAGCGTCTTTTCCATGTTCGGGTGAGCAGCATCCTTGCCCATTTATCCTCTCTGACTCTTCGTTGTTTGTCTCAGACGAGCTTGCCCGTGAACGCATAGTGTTTTGCGTGTTCGAGCTCGCGAACAACGAACTGCTACTGTCAGGCCTGTTCAGTTGCTGCTTGCACTATCGCCGCGCCGAGAGCACTGCTTCGGTCCCCCTCCCCGCCACCGCTGTTCGGGGGGAGGAAGCGGAGACTGCAGGGAAAGAGGGGCGCTACGAGGAAGGGAAAAACGATGAGAGCAAGGTGTGGAGGAGCACGAAGTTGCCGGCGAGGGTTGGGACGGCCTGGGCGCCCGCCCGACGCCGCACGCGAGGCAGCTCTGCAGCGCGGACCCGCGGGACGCGCGCGAGGGCGCCCCGGAACCCGAGGCGTGCGAGGGGCAGGCTCACGAGGCCGAGGCGGGCCCCGCGCTCCTGCGCCGCGGGAGTCGTGGGAGGAGGGCTTGCGGAGGAGCGCGGGAAGGCACGGGGAGGGGGCCGAGGTCAGAGGGGGGCCGCCTGCGACGAGGGCCTTGTGCCTTCGGTGGGCCCCCCGTCGACACGCTCGGACGCAGCGTGGCAAGTTTACGCGTCTGGCCCCCGGGGAGGATTTGGGGACCGATTTTGAGTTGCTCGTGGTCTCAGTGCGCCCCGCTCCGATGAAGAGAAGGGTAGCTGTATGACCGCCTTTCAATATTCCTGGGCCATAACGGGCGGAACGGGGGGGGGGAGGGGGGAGCCGTAGCGTCACGTTTCCCGCCGCCGCCGTCTGGGAACATCTGGGGATGAACAAAGCCAACACGGAGTTCAGCACGAATCGTGTTTTTCCTTGGGGGGGTTCTCTCAAGTAAGTTTGTGTTGTGCTCGCATCTGCCACAACCGCTGCATTTGGACTAGGGCCACGACGCGCCGATCGGCTTCGGCTGGCCGCTACATCGACCTCCTTTGCCATCCGTGCTATTGCCTCTGCTCCAGGACCTGGAGCCACCTCTGCCCATGACTGTCTGGAGGGGCCCTGGACTTTCGTTCACCGTAGCTCCTGTGAGTTCGCCCTAGACTTCCCGCGCGAAACTGGACACGGGAAGAATCGCCGTGCGCTGGCACGGGTGACTGGATCCCCTTAAGCACCACGTGAAGGTGGCGAAATCGGCCGTGAACAAAACGTTCGGGCCGATGCGGCTTAAGGGCTCGAGGGAGGAGGAGGAGGAGGAGGAGGTGGAGGTGGAGGAGGAGGAGGTGGAGGTGGAGGAGGAGGAGGAGGAGGAGGAGGAGGAGGAGTGTAAACCGTTGAAGGGCTATAGACGCCCGAGAATCAGCGATTAGCCTTGGCATTCCGTGGCCATTCTCGAGGCCGGCTGGAGGCCGAGGCTTTTCTTTTCGAACCCACGGCGAGCTGCCCGAGCCGCCGTGACTTGCGAGCGAGGTCCCTTCGTGCAGAGACGCGGCCATGGCGCCGGCGTGGACGTGCGGGACCTGTGGCTTCCACAACTTCGGGCACCGCGGCACGTGCAAGCAGGCAGGGTGCAACGGTCGCAACCCCCAAGGCCCCATCCCGCAGGTCCAGTTTTCCTGGGGGAACCCGTGGTGGGGCATGGGCGGGTTTGGCGGCGGCGGCAAAGGGGGTAAGGGCGGTGGCGCCTTCATCCCTGGCGGCGGCGGCGGCAAGGAGAACGGCTTCAAGGGAAAAGGCGGCGGTGGTGGTGGAGGAGGGGGGGGAGGAGGCAAGGCGTCTCCACCTCCCAAGCGTGAGCTTACGTCCGAGGAGAAGTCTTTGTGGCTCAACCTCTCGGAGGAGCAGTTCGCGCTTGCCTCGCAGTCCATCCCACGCCACCAGAGGGATTCACTCATGCACCAGCGCGCGCTCCAGAACTATGGCCTCTCGGGGGCCAAGGCGGAGGCAGCGCAGATCAACGCGCTCATTGGGAAGTACAGCCAGCAGATGGTACACCTCAAGCAGAAGGTGGCGCGCATGCAGTCGAAGGCAGAGGAGGCGGTCAAGGCCGCCATCGTGGCGCAGGAGGAGCTGGACACCGTCCAGCAGCAGCTCGAGGACGCGAAGGCCCGCGGGCTCTCGCTGGGCGCGCAGGGCGGTGCGGGCGAGGCGAAGGCGGCGCCGCCTGTGTCTCTCGCCCAGCCCCTGCAGCAGGCGCTCGACGCCTTCGTCGGTGCACTCCCCGAGGGGGAGGCGGGCGAGGGTTTGCGCAAGGCCTTCGACACGATGCGCGAGACCTTGGAGGCGGCGGTGGCAGCGGCGGAGGCGAAGGAGCCGTCAGCCGCGGCTGCCGCCCCCGCCGCAGGCGGCACAGCCCCAGGCGGCCCAGGCCCCGCTGGGGGCGGCCAGCCGAGGGCGAAGAGGGAGAAACGAGGCGAAGTGGAGAACGCCGCCAGTGCTGGGGGTCGTCGTGCAGCTCGTGCTGATGTTGCTCGCGGCCGAGGCAGTGGAGGACACGCAACGGACATCGAGATCGACGAGGACCAGCAGGATGAGCACATGGAGGGAGCTGACAATGCCCTCGCCCGAGTGGGAGATGGGCTACGTTTGGAGTTCCATGGAGACGAACGGGCGCAGCAGTGCGTCACATCCGTGCTGGACAAAGTCAAAGAGCAGATGGAGAAGGAGAGAGAGGAGGCTGGCAAGAGGGGCAACCGCAGCAGGTCACCGACACGCTCGTGCGGCTCCTGACGGCCTGAGTTGGGAGTTTGTCTCAGCTAATGTCACAAGCTGGCCACGGTGCCAGTCTTTTCTAGAGGCCGAATGTCAGTCGAAAGTTTGTTTCCTTCAAGAGACGAAGGTCAAGGTGGGCGATGCCGCTCAGGCGTCGAACACCTTGGCCAAGGTAGGTTGGAATGTTCGTTTTGGAACCTGTGATGTGACCCAGTCTGAAGGTTTTTCAGCAGGGGTTGGTTTGGCCGTCCGCAAGGGGGTAGGCATGGGCAGCAATCCCTTGGAGCCTCGACCTCATTCCAGGGCCGTCGTGGCTTGGGTCGGAGGCTGCGTCGCGGGAGGTTTGTACGCTGCCAGTGTTTACCTCCCGAGCGGGGACGGTGTAGGTGCCGAGGGCCGCCGCGTTCTTTTCCAGGTTGGGGAGTTTCTGTTCTCCATGGGAAAGCCGTTCGTCATTGGCGGCGACTTCAACGCTCTGGAATCTGAAGTGGGAGGCACTGGTTTACTTGAGAAAATCGACGGGGTCATAATTCTGACTGGCAAGCCTACGTGCAGAGTGGGCAAGGATTGGCGCGAGATAGACTTCTTCATTGTGTCGGCGAGCTTAGTGCCCTGTGTTTGGCGCTGCGATCGATTGGAAGGGTCTGAATTGTCCACCCACTACCCCATCAGAATGTCGATCAGGACTAGTACTCACCTGGGTCAGATCAGATGTTTGTGGGCGCCCAAGAGGTTTCCTGATCTTCCGATCGGCCCAGCGCCAGCCCCACCAGTTTGGTGGGAAGGCATTCAGATTCAGGTTGAGCAGCTGGTCCGTGAACCAGCAGTCACGCAAGCTCAGGTCTCGCAGGCTTATGCATCATTTTGTCAGGCAGCCGAGCTAGAGCTCGCGGAGATGTACCAGCTGGAGCTGTCGGGCTCCAAGGGGAACCTTTTCGGCAGAGGCGACAAGTTTAAGTTCGTGTATAAACCAGCCATTGTCAAGGTTGGCGGGCCACATCCCCTTGGGTCTCCAGTGTCTAGGGCGATGCGAAGGTTCCACACGCGCCTTGAAGAGTTGGGGCACCTCAAGCGTAAGGGGTACGTCGATGACGACATGCAGGTATGTGAAATCAACCGAAAGCTTCAGAAGGCTCCCGAGCTGCTCTGGCACTCTTCAGGCTGGCGGGAGTGGCGTGCTTGTCATTTTAGTTTCAGGGGCTATGGGGCGGCCTCGATCAGGGACGCCTTGGTTGATTTGAGCAAGCTGATCCAGTCTGGGGAGGCGTCTTGGGTCAGGCAGCGTCAAAAGGGGTGGAGATCTTGGGCTTCTGAGGCGGTGTCTAACGGGGGGAGTATGGCTCACAGGTGGGTGAAGGTCCCGAACGAGTGGATCCCAGATGAGCCAGGCCCTGACGGAACCCCAGGAGGAGCGATGGACCAGATCGAGGCTCTCGAAAGTGAATGGAAGGGTATTTGGAGGTACGGTGACCTGAAGGAGCCAGAGGCCAATTTTCTGTAGTCGTTACCCATGGATGACCCTCCAGAGCCACCTGAGCCTCAGGAATTACGCCGAGTTCTTGGAAAGTTTAAGAGTCGTACGGCGGTGGGGGCCTGCAGGTGGCCGCCATCACTTTTGAAGTCCCTGTGTGACGACGGGCTTCGAGCATTCGGACCCCTGCTGCACATGTGGGAGAAGTTCGTTTGTCTTCCTGAGCAGATCACGCTGCTCATCCTCCCTTTCCTCCAGAAACCAGAAGGTGGGCGGCGACCAATTGGTATTTTGCCCACACCTGTTCGTGTTCTTGGGAGATTGCGTCATAGGGAGGCGGAGAGATGGGAGGAGGCGAACCACAAGGAGTACATGTACGGGGGGAAGGGGCGGAGCTGTGAGATGGCGGTATGGAGGCAAGCGATTAACAACGAGGCGGCTATCGCCAGCAAGTTTTTGAGTGCCTGCACGCTGATTGATCTTGAGAAGGCGTACGAGAGAGTGACGCACTTGCTCTTGCTTCGTTCGTGTCATCGGCATGGATTTAGCATCAGGCGCATTCGAGTGCTCCTCTTAGTTTACGGTGGGCCTCGCAGCATTAAGGTTGGCGAGGCCCTGTCCCTCCCTTTCACAGTCAACAGCAGCATAGTCGCGGGGTGCTCGTTCGCGACGACGCTGTTGAAGATAGTGCTTAAAGATGTGTGCGACGAGTTTATGGCTAGATGGCCCCGTCTTGGGTTGGCGCTCGTGGTCGACGATTCCACCATTCAAGCGTTGGGGTCCGAGCCATTCGTGAAGAACGCACTGGTGTCGGGAACGTGGCAGTTTTGTCGGGGTTTGGAGGCCTTGGAGATGAAGGTTTCCAGGGAGAAATGCATTCTGGTGGCATCTGACATCAAAGTGGGCAGATCTCTGCAGCATAGTTTGAGAGAGTTCAGTTTCAAGTATGTGCCCGCGGCCAAGAACTTGGGCGTAGACTTTAAGTTGGCCTTCAACAAGGGCAGGCAGGTGACGAATAAACGAATCACCATCGTGCGAGGCAGAGTGCGACGATATCGAGCGTTCCGATTCTCGAAGAAACCGATTCAGCAGGTCTTCAGAGGTGGGGGAACGCCAGCTGCGATGTATGGGGTGGGGGTGGTGGGGATGTCCAACACCGCCCTCCAGAAGCAGCGTGCCACGACGGCAGCTGCCCTTTTTGGCCCAGCCCAAGGAAGGTGCAGGGCAGTGCAGTTTTTGTTGGCAGAGGTGCCGCAGGTTGACCCGTCGTTCCTGGCGAACGCCTTGCCGCTCATGATGTGGTGCAAGGCTATTTTTTGCAGTGGTCATCGGAGGCGCAGATGCAGACGGCCTTTGACAAGGCCAAGAAAGAAGCTGCTAGAGGCTGGAGTGGAGTCATTGGCCCCGCTGGAGCGGTGGTACAGACTTTGAGTAGGCTGGGCTGGACTGGGACCTCCTGGTGCAGTTGGGTTACTTCGTCGGGGCTTCGCCTGGACTTGCGCGAGTTGGGTCCTCGAACGATCAAGGCACTCGTAGACGACACCACGGAGCAGCTCAGTTTAAAGAAGGTTAGCGAGTTTTACGACCTGTCTTGGGAGCCTTTCCTGGAACCGATCAGAGGTGTTATTGCCGAGCAGAGAAAGAGAGGGGACCATCTTGGGATCAGCCTTCTTATCGCTCAGGTTTCTGGAGGCCTCTGGACGCAGAAAGACTTGTTCAAGCAGCGCTACAGCTTGGACCCGCTTTGCAGATGGTGCAAGGCCCGAGAAGGGTCTGTGCACAACAGGTTATGGGGCTGCGATGGCTCCTGGTTTTTACGGCGTGATCTCGACCCAGGGGGACGCCTGCTGCAGCAAGGGATCAACGCCCAGGCAGATATTAGATGGACGCGAGCTTTGGTGCCCAGTGACCGCGAGTCCATCCCGAAGATTTTGCACGGAGCTGAATTTAAGTGGGCCCATCCTCCTCACCGTGATGGAACCCTGGGGCCATTTGTTTGTGTTGATGGTTCTGGATACGACAATGACTACCGATGGTTGGCCAGAGCAGGATGGGCAGCATATCTGTTTCCTCTATGCTGGAGGTGGAGGCCATTGCGTACGGCCCGTCACCGCTTCCAGTGCAGGACGTTCCTAGTGCAGAGCTTTTCGCTTTTTTTTATGGCCCTGTCGTTCATGGGCCCTACGATCACGATTTGCACGGGCTGTCAGATGGTCGTCGACGGGTGGGAGGCTGGGGAGGCAGGCGCTACCCACCCAAACAAGGCGTATGCGGAGCTCTGGAGGCAGATCTGGAGGAGAGTCGTCGATGTCGGGAGAGAGAACGTCCAGGTAGTCAAGATTGCCGCGCACCAGTCGCGGCGTGCGGCATTCAACCATGGAGTACCGCCTCATTTTTTCCATGGGAACAGGCTCGCCGACGAGTGGGCCAAGAAGGGTGCCAAGGCGCACCCGATGAATTTCCACGTCCGTGACAGGATAAGGTTTCATCATGATCAAGTTACCTTGTTGGCCAGGTTCCTGACTGAGGTGTTGAAGCATGTGCACAAGTTAGGGTACCCTGACGTTGAGGCCATCAAGGAGCGTAGGCAGCGGGCCCATGTTAGTTCAGAGGCCCCCCTGCTTGGAATAGTTCCAGATGATAAGGGTCGCAAAATATCACAGGTTCCAGGTGGGTGGGGATGCTGTGTCTGTGGGATCGGGCGGGTTGCGCGCTCTCGGCTGGTTCCGCTGCCGTGCCCTGGGGTCCCTGTGGTCTTCCAGAAAGCTCACACCACCCACCGCCTTTGGGCCAATGGGCCTGTCTTGTGGTGCTCGGCGTGCGGAGTGCACGCCCAGCAGCAGGTCAAAGACCTAGCTGAGAGGTGTGCGGCTCGCACCGTCGGCGAATGGAAGAAGAGGTCACTGCGCCTCTTGAAGCAGGGCAAGAATCCGTCCGCGCCGAAGGCGGAGGCGGTCGTGCCCGTGCCCCTCCATCGGTGAGGGTGATGTGCAGTGCGGGCATCTTGTCGTCACGGGATGCGTCGCTTGGCAGCGCAGAGCGCAGAGGAGGAGTGTAAACCGAACAGTCATCAACGATGTCGAAATACACCCTCCCTCCAGGATCCCTCTTCACAGGCCCCCATAAGGAAGGGGTCATTTCCACTGAGGGAATTGCCCCGTTGGGGCTTGACCGTGTGAACATCATGAAACTTGCCAAAACACCGCTCTCACGAGTTCAGCGCCACGAGTTGACCTGACTGTGACATGTTGGCGGTCACGAATCGTGCCAGAACTCCGCTCCTTGGGCTCCATTGCCGCGAATCAGTATCGTTCCAAAATGTCATTCCTGGTACGTCAACCATGAGAAGCCGTGAAACTCGTGCACATGTTCAAAAAACGAATGTGCGCGGCGCTAACGCGAGAGCCACAGTTTGAAAAGAAATTTACCAGGTTGTAGAGCCACGGTGCACGGCGTTAAGGAGCGAGGTTGTAGATGCGAGGAGCATTCCGCATGCGCCTGGAGCAATCCACGCAAGACCAGCGTCAGCACGGTCTTGCTGGACTTTAAATGAAGGCTCTCGGCGAGCATGAGCTGGCTACGTGGATGAACCACACCTTCCAGGCCATGGAATCATCGGCTCGCGCCGTTCCCGCGCCCCCGCCGGTGGTGACTCCCGCTCTTGGGACGTCCTCCGACGCTCCGACCCCTTGGGCCCAGGCTCTTTTCCTGGCCTCCCAACGTCCGAGTGCGTCGACATCCGAGGACTCGCCACCAGCATATACCCAGGCAGTCTCTACTGCCTATGGCGAGGACTGGGATGGCGAAGCCGCTTCGTCGGAGGCGGAGTGGAGGTACTATTCTTCGTGCGCTACCATATTCCCACGTCTCAACGGCCTGATCAACGATTTCCCCACTGCATGGGCATCGCGGTCGTCCCCTGAACGGGACTACCTCGAGACCACGGCCAACAGGACCTGTCATGTGCGTCACGCTGCCACATGGCTGGGCTTCAAGCAGCTCGTCGACAAGATCAGGTTGCAAACCACCGTGCGTGTTGGCGCAGAGACCGGATTCCATGACCAAGCACGTGGCGTCAACGCAGAATACATTGACGAGCTCACCGACTGGTTTCGCGAACAAGATAACGCACAGTTGGACGTCCCACTGGCTCCTCCTCCGGAGTCGCTGGACACGTCCACTGCCGCATCCGTGGTCGTGCCGCCGCCCCCGCCCGCGCGTCCACCACCGCCTGCGGATGCTCCTGCGGTGCGCGCGACATCCAAGCGGCCACCACCCACGCCACCAACGCCACTTGCGTCGGTGGCAACACCCGCACCCACGCCGCCTCAGCCGCTCCTGGAGGCCACTGCGAAGGAGCCGCCACATCGTCCGCCCGCGGTCCCTGCAGCGGATGTTTGTGCGTCGGTGGCAACACCCGCAGATGCTCCACCGTTTGCGGTATCAGTGCGGTCCGCGGAGCCTTTGAAGCTGAAAGTCATGGGTGCACGGGACCGCTGTGCTCGTTCGCAACACGAAGCTGCAGATACCTGGGAAATCTTCGATTCGGGCTATCGGCGGGCACAGCGTTGTGCATCAAATGAGCAGACCATGGAACATGAGTTGGAAGCGACTTTCCTGGACAGATGTAGAGTACCTGCGTCATGCCAACACCCGCGATGCATGGACGGGCATCCGCAGAGCAGGTATTATTGTTGGATACGGAGCAGAACGTCAGACGCGGAAAGAAGCGTTGTATTGCAGTTCGTGTTCTTTCGTCTTCGGAAATATGCAGAACCCACGCGCCACGGCTGCTGGCTACAAGTCCGAGCACAAGAAGAAGCAGGTGGACGTCGTGGCTATCGACGTGCATGCGGCGTCCGTGTCCGGGTGTGAATTCTGGCTTGGTGAGCAACGTGCCATCGTGCGTCTCCCGACTGTTCCTCCGATGGCCATCCTCACCATCCGCGCGGTCGGAGCACGTCCTCCTCTTTCCCGGGCGCATCAAATCATTGACCTGCCCTCCGTTGGCTAAGTTTCCTGGGCCACGGAGTCAGTATGAAGTCTGTGAGGTTGTGCCGGCGGTAACCCGCAGCGATGTCTATGCCGAACCTTCAGTCGCATCGCAGACCCGACGTGGCCTCGCCCAAGCTTCGTGGACCCGCGGCCGTTGCAGTCGCGGAGAGTTCACCCTCTGCCTCGCCGCGCGTTCCCGAGCAGCGCGTGCAGACCGATGCGCCAGCCGACGTTGCGGATGGCATGTTAGACGCCCCCCCCCCCCCCCCCCCCCCTCGACACGCACGCGGCTGCGCCCGCTGCTGACCCCAATGTCCACGCGCCGGCGGAGACACTTGCGCCCCCGCGGCATGCCAACCCACCGACTCCAGCAGAACAAGACATCCAGGAAGTGCAGTCGAGCATCGGTTGGTGGAAGATCGCGCAGGATTGCAAGAAGCTGCACTTCGAACCGCCTGCCAAAGACCTCCCTCCTGGCACCTGGGGCCGTGTGTCGCGTCGCAGCGTCGTTCGTTTCGGTGATTTCATCTTCGCGCGTCGGCACGGTGCGTCTCGATGCCGAGCTGTAGCCGCGCCATGCCCTGCCACCGAGCAGCAGGCCTTCATTCGGGCAAAAGGGCAGTTATTTCGCGCAATCATCGACATGGAGCACAGAGGACCTTATGTCACCGTGATGATTCCGCGCCGTGGTCACTGTCCACTCGGGGCCAACATCTGGTATTGTGATCATGGTAACGAACAACACGGATCCCGCTTTCTGGTTCTTCTTCGCGCCGATCTTCCGTCGACTTCTGCCCATCCGATGATGACATCGCGGTTGAGACGTCGGTGCAAATGCCCGCAATTCACGACGGCCCCGACGCAGCCGATTACGCTGACAGTCGAGCCGTCCGATGCGATGATGGGGGCAGTTCTGACCCCGATCCACATCGTCAAGGACGTGGAGGCTGCATGTGGAACCCTTCCAAAATAATTGTTCAAGACACTCGAAATTCTGGTTCGGCGACGACCGCCACTGGACCACTGCGGCTGACCCGGCTTCCGGAGGTGGGACAAATCTGCAATGGAAAGAACGCGGGCGACAAATGCCATTACTTCAGCCACCTCCACATCCTGTTTCGCTTCAACGTTGAATCGACAGGGGACCTTCGTGACATTTGATCCGCGCAGTTCGCGGGCCCAGCAGCTCCCTGACGCATGCGGACACAAGCGGTTCATCCTGGTGATGTTGAGGAACATGGGCTGGCCAAGCGACCATGAGTTCGTGCTTTCCCCTGGTCCCCGCACCTCTTTGCCATCGTCCAGGGCGACGCCCCTCAGCGTCTCGTAGAGGCATCGGCGTCGGATGTTCTCAAGCACCATGCCGCCCTTGAGTCTGCGCTCAACCTGCGGGGGACAGATGCCCATTCACTCTGGCGCCGTTGACTTGCAGACCGCGAGGCGTCATTGTCAGAGCTGCCACCGCGATCTCCCAAACAGTTTCCGCGGTGACGTGCGTGACGCGCGCAGTGAGTCACATAAGTGCGGGGGGGGGACCGGCGCTGCTAAGATCCAGTTTCTCGCCGACGTGCACGCGTGGATTCGGCGCATTTTGAGCGAGCAGATTGCGCGGCGCATTCTGCGCGCCGGCGTTTCCATCCGCTTCCAGGGCACCCGCTCCGCTGAAGCAGTGGAAGGACTTCCTTCGCAGGCAGGCGGCTAACGCGGAGAAGCGTTGCACCAGGTGGGTTGAGGCTGGCTGGCCTCGCTCAGGCGCCTCGCGACTGGGCGGGGCTGATGCTGATGGCCAGCGCGACAATGCTGCCCTATATCGCCCATGTGTTGACATGATGGAGCACTTCCAGACCGACCCTCTGTTCTTCGCCCAGATGACTGATGGCAGGCGGGCCAAGACCAAGCCGCCCTTCACGATCGACAGCATGCGCGACGCCGCGCAACATTACCGTGACAGCGCGAGCACTGGATGCGGTGGTCGCCGGGCATAGGCCCTTGGAACGCTCGGCCGAAGCGAACGCTTCGAACGTGGGCCCATCGCCCTGTCTGCCCCCTCTGGGAGAGGTCAGGGTTCGAGGAGCCGCGTCGCGCTGGCTGAGCTCCACCGGCAGGCCCCCCAAGGCGCAGCGAAAGGTAAGAAGGGCGAGGACATTGCTCCTGCCGATGACCCTGTCCGACTCACCCCTGCCCTTCCATTCCCGCGCCGCAGTGTCCCCGCCGGCGCCTGCGCCCCTGGCGCTGGCAGGACAGGAGTCGCTGGCCCCGCCTCGAGCGCGCGGAGGCCCGCGACGCCGCCGGGGCGGTTGCCGCGCGAGACGGGGCCCAGAGGCCGCAGCCGTAGCGCCGCGCGCCAGCGCCGCAGCGCGCAGACGTGGCGGCGCCGCAAATTTGAGCATGACCACCATTATTCGTACTGCCATTGGCCCTCCTATCTCGGCAAACGGCAAATGGATCTACACCGACGAGAAAGACTGCGAGTAAATTCGGTTGGGCACCAACAGCGGACGTACAATTGGTTGTTTTGATAAACGCGACAATCGTGTCTGGGGCAATCGATAATATGACTTCGTACACACGCGTCTTGAAGTGTTTTTTTTTTTTTTATTGTGATGCATCACTGCTTCTGTGACATCCTGTTAATTGATTACCTGATTGCACTGCTGATATTCTGGTATGTATTATTTGATTGTGTTCTTCCGTTTCTTTCGTTGCATCATATATTTCACCTCACATTCATCTCTTTTGTGTTTTGACAGATGTGGTATTATTTCGTGCACTCCGGCATTCAGGGTTTAAGCGCACCCCGCAGGTCGCCCGCCAACAATGATATCGAAACGGATACATCTCAATGTCATGAGAGGTCGGAAGTGGCAGGGTACGACACATGCAAAACATCACCCTCATGACAGTTGCGATGAAACTACTCGCCATTATGCTCACTGTCACATTTGCCGGGCGTTTCTTCCTTTATCGCTACACGCGATTGATTTGACGTCGCATTCTTCGCATCTTTTGAGTCCTGGAGTGCCTCGCGCTCAGCGCGCATGCTACTATCTCAGATATCAGTTGTTTTTGTCCCAAGCATATTAATACAATGGGAATTTGCGCCTGGAGAGCCCTAGCAAGATTTTCTGGTCTGGAAAGCCCCGTGAGTGAGAGACTCTCTTTTACTGTGATCGAGTTGCCGTCGCAACTCCGATCCATCGCACCATGCGCTTTTGCAGTGCGCCGGTGGGGACACCTGCATCGATGGATGCAGTTGCTTTCTCAATTTGCTCTTCTCCCCCTTGCTCTCCCGGCCTCGCCGCATGTTGTGGAGGAGGGTTGTCCGCGTGCGCCGAAGCATTCTTGGGGAGCGCACCCTGGGCCCGCGAAAGGCGGGCAGGCTACCCTGAGTACCCCGCGTGGCGGGGTTGGCCCTTGTTCTTCACATTCCTAGTCGATGCGGCCTCGTCTGGAGGTGCGGTCGATATGGCGGTGATTTGAGTGGACCGCACACCTCTGATCCCGAGCCCTGCCGTTGTCTCCCGAGGCCCCGAGGCCATCGTGGAGCTGGCGGGTTTCAGGGCGGTGCGTGCGTGTGCGTAGTCCGCTTATACCGCCATTATATCGTCATCAACCGCTACTGGATCGGCTCAGATATTGGCATGAACACCATGCCGCGCTGACCTCTGCGCAGCGCCCAGGAAAAGGAGTAGCCAACTCTCTTCCATTATTGCTTCTACCTGCGGACGCTAATATAGGATCGACCCCATCGGTCGTACCCTTACACGCGCAACTCGGAGGCTTCCGAGATGGATCTGGGAGCTCACCCCTCTGGACGAGGGAGACACCGACGGGCTGGTCCCACTTGGGCCGAGTCACGGCCGCATGTGCTGGCCGCACCCTACGGGGGTCCTCGCCCTTCGCGATGGATACGTGGCCATCCGCGGTGCGACGCCCGTCGAGGGGACGAGGCTGCCCCGGGCGCGGAGAGGACCACCCCGCACCATTCCGCGGGCGATCCCGGGGGGTGCGGCCCACAAGACGACGTCGATCGAAGCCGAGGACCGCCTTCCTCTGCCGGTGCGGGCTCTACCGCTGCCAGAGGTGCCTCCCGTGCCAGCGCGGGTGGCGCGCAGCCGAAGCTTTGGGCGGGCGTGGCCCGCCCTCGGGCGGGAGGGGCCAGCGCCGCGGTTCTGGCCGAAAGAGCGCCGATGACACGCGCGGACGTCCAGCTGGAGATCCCAAAAGCCGTTGGCTGTGACGTGCGATCTTTTCGGCGCACTTGTGCTGCGCCGTTCGCCTTGGGTGTTCCAGCGGCTGGTTCCGGCAGGTGGCACACGCCGTCAGATCCAACCCCAAATCCACTTTCCCTCCAGCATCCTGCAGCTTCCATCCCGCCTGGAGCATTCCGACAACTATCCCCCCCCCCATCCATCCATGACCCGCCCCCCCTCCCGTTTTTGTTTTACTCCACTCTGTTATACATCCATCCTTCCTTCCCGCCCCATCCACCCTCCGCTTCCCCTTTCCACCGTTTTTGTTGTTTCTCTTTTTTTTTGTTGTTTGTTTGTCTCTCCCTCTCTTTCTCTCTCTCTCTCGGTCTTTTTCGCCCAACAATTACGTTGGGCGTGTCCCACTACAGGAGGATTTTGGGCGACAAATGAAACATACCCCCGAGCATACCCCCAAAACGGTCGAACATAATCAGCAAAAGGTGGCCAGACTATTGCTTGACTATTTTGGAACACTTCTCGTGTAGAGGGACAGGCCCGACTCCAACTTGCTGCTCTCCCTGCGGCGGTCCTCGCCTGGGCGCCGAGCGCAGGCCAACGAGTGGCGGGGCCCCGCCGCCGCCACGCGCCAGCACCCGGAGGACAGCGCAGCCCCAGTTCGGGGGCGGAAAAGAGGGGGGTGATGATTAGGGGGGGTGGATATCATGGCGTGGGCCATGATATTTCCTCAGATATCATGGCGCCTCCTCTTATTTCATTACGTCCCTGGCCCCCCCGCTGGGCCGCGCACGTGCCGCCAGTCATGATTTGCACCCCCCCTTCTGGGACCCCCCCCTCTTGGCCGATCCCGACCAGTGCAACCCTGGGCCCCAGGGTCGAGCAGTGGCGTGGCCGTCCTGAGCACGCTTGTGTGGCGCCCGCGAGGTGTTCTTAGAACATGTCCGCCTGGGACCGTCTTGTTTTAACACATAGGGTCTATGTTCTAAGACCACTGTTTTTGTTACTGTTGGGTTCTAGGAGCATGTCGTGGCTTAGAACATGTCCGGCTGGGACCGTCTTGTTTTAACACGTAGGGTCTATGTTCTAAGAGCACTGCTTTGTCATCTTAGGACATCGTTGGGTTCTAGGAGCATGCCGTGGTAGGCCTGTGGGAGTGCCGGGACGGTCGGTCCCTGTTCAGAAAAATTCACACAGGCACAATGAATCGTTGATTCCTACGAACATTTTGGAAAATATGGGGAGTGGGGGGAAGACAAAAGCCCAGGAAACATTGGAAGATCTGGGGGATCCTGGTACGTGTGTCTATTTACTTGTGTGTCCCAGGGCCCCTTCAAGGGTGGACAGCGCAGGCCCCCTGGGGGTGGTCGGCGATTAGCAGCGTAGCGGACTTGCCCCAAGGGCCCCCGTGCAGTATTTGTTCGCTCGGGGACCTTCTTAGGGGTTCACCTGGCGAATCTGCTCGGCTCCAGCTCGATGCTGGTTCCGCTCCACATCGGCTCGATTGCCACAGGTCTCGACGGATGCTCGACGAGCCATCGACGCTGGGAGTGGAGCGTGAGGCCTCGGGAGGGTCCCCGCACCATACGACCTGGCCTGCACCTCGCAGCCCGACCTCGCGGCCCCCGGGCGGGCCCCCGGGGTCGCCCGCGAGGGCGCGGAGGTGCCCGCGGCCCGCGCTGTCGCGGCCTCGGCCCGGGAGGGCGCGGGGCTCGGGGAGAAGCTCGCTCGCTGTGGCCAGGATTGTGATGGGCCTGTTGCCCACCAGCGCCACCACAGGTTGGAGGGTGGGGGAAGGGGGTGGAGTACCAGGAGGAGGAGGAGGAGGAGGAGGAGGAGGAGGAGGAGGAGGAGGAGGAGGACCCCCTCCCCCACCTACTTTGGTGGTGGCGGTGGAAAACGAGCCCACCAGATTCGGCGGCGAACTCCAAACCCGACCCTCGCCGATCAACGGTTCGTGCAGGCTGATGGTCGGCGGGGGCGTTCTTCGAAATGAAGGGTTCGGACGTCGCCATCTAGTCGCGGGATGTTGTCGACGCCGCTCTCGGTCGTGGTCCATGCTGGCCGTCCGCGATTCGCGAGGATGATCCACGAGCTGACGCTGACCAAGGTGGACGATGACCAAGGTCGACACAGACGTCTCAGCGTTCCGTCTTGGTCATTGTTTCCAAGCCTGGCCTGGGGCAGCATCCTGCCATGAGGGGGCTGCACTCCTCCTCTCGTCCTCCTCCGCACCCCAGGGACAGAGGGTCAAATGTAAATGTTCGGCGATCCGCCCAGATCTCTCATGTCGGCACTGAATCCCTCGGGCGGCGCCAGGAATGGTACTCTGCACCCCATGCTGAGGCCTCTTTGTCGGCAATTGCTTGAGTCGTCCGCGCGCCAGGAGAAGGGGTCAAGCGCCGACCGTAAAAGTCCTCGCGGACCTCCGAAAGCTGATGCTTATGCCATAGGTTCTTCCTCTACATCACCGGCATCCCTCGTTCGACCAGCAGTGCGACACGGGCCGGGACTCGGGAGGTTGTGTTCTCTGGTCTGGAGCTAGGATTTCTTTGCACGTACACCGCCAGGGGAATGTATTGCAAAGGCTTTGCGGCCGGTGCCGCCGACCCTGGATGGGGAACGACGACAACGGCGGCGGTGGCGATGACGACGACGTTGACGTGGGTCAGAGTCCTCATGGATGCTTCTTGGGGTCTCTTCGATGCGCTCTCGGGGGCCTCTGGGGAACACTTTAAGGGGCCTCGTGGGAGCCTCTCTTGGGGGCCCCTTGGGAGCCTCTGGGGGGCCTCTCTTGGGAGCCCCTTGGGAGCCCCTTGGGAGCCTCTTGGGGGCCTCTCGTGGGAGCCTCTGTTGTGAGCCTCTCTTGGAAGCCCCTTGGGAGCCTCTTGGGGGCCTCTCGAGGCTTCCTGGCAGGGCCTGTCCTTCAACATGAGGAGTATGCAGAAATATGCAAAAAATAGTCTGGGGACGATTTTCTGACAATTTTTGAGCATTTGGGGTGTATGTGTTATGTATTTATAGTTTTCGCCCAAAATCCCCCTGTAGGAGGACAGGCCCGACTTAAGCCCAGGCGTCTGAGCCAACTTTGGGCTTCTGCCGAATATCCCTCTGCCAGCTCCATCCTGCTCCGCCTGTCTGGAGCATCTCCCAGCTCCATGTCCCTATTGTTCTTGCCTGGTTCTCCTCTCCCTCCCGCCGATGCCCGCTGGCAGCTCGGGCAGAAATCGGTTTCGCACACTGTCGTGGTTGAGCCCATGTGGCTGCTGACTGGGTCAAGGGTTGTGCCTGATCGGTGGCCGACTGTGCACCAAGGTGCAGAGCGGCCATCTGGAACCGAGTCGACTCACTTGGTTGCCCGTTCAGCGGCCGAACGGGTTCTCCCTGGGGGAGGACAGCGCTGGCGACTTCGAGTGGGCGCGCCGGGCGCTGGAGAGATCTGGCCGCGCGAGGGGCGGGCGGCATTAGTAGCCAGAGACTGCGACGCGGGCGAATAGCCCAGGGGGGATTACTTACACGTAGCTCTGTCCGAGCATCGTGCAACAGGTGGCGCGATTGGAGCCCCGTGATGCGCGTAATGTTTTCTGTTTGGCTATTCGGTCTTGTCTCTTTCTGCTGAGCAGGAGAGAAAGAGGAAGGCACAGAGGCATGCGGAGGCGGTGGGCAGAGGGCCCTGAAGATGAGCAGCAGCAGGGAGGGGGATATAGCTCAATGGTGGAGCCCCGCGCTGCCGAGGACGTTGCGGCGGAGCATGTTATATGAATCGGCCGCGCTCCCCACACTGCCCAGGCACCAATGCCCCGGCGTAGATTTCCCAACCCCTTCTCTGTTCTTTCATCTTGGAGTTCTGGTAGGGGAGACGCATACTACGTAAGTGAGCTCGACGTCTCAGTCAGCAGAGTTGCCCTACGGGATGTCCTCACGCTCGAATAGACATAGTTTCACGTCTTGCAGGTGAGCCTGGCACGCGCGTTGACGTGCAACCGTCCGTACCTAATATCATGTAGCCCATCCCGCCACCGTGCCTGGGTTGTGGGTATGAAGTTTATTGGATGTTCGCTGGGATCTCGTGCGAGGCTTCTCGGGGGCCTCTTGGAGCCAGTTTGGGGGCCGTTTGGGGGCCTCGTGAGGCCTCTTTTCGGCCTCTTGGGGGTCTCTTTTGGGCCTCTTGGGGGCCTCTTTTGGGCATCCTGGGGGCCTCGTGCAGCCTCCTGGGTGCCTCTTGGGGCCTCTGTGGGGCCTCTTCTGGTGGAAGGCTCGGATTTTCGGTTCGTGCTCCTTCTCTTGCTTCCTTTTGGGGTCGTCTTGGGGGGGAGCGGAGAGGAGGCCGGGAGGAGTGGAGGGGGCGAAGAGGAGGGAGGAAAATGGCGAAGGGCGAGGAGCGGAGATGCGCGGAAGGGAGGGAGGCGGAGGAAGGGAGGGATGGGCGGAGGCGGGGAGGCGACGAGGGGGGGGGAGGGCTCTAGGCCGCCCAGATGGGGTCGGAGTAGACCGGGTCGGAGGATCGCACCGCGTCGGCGATGCATTGGCGATGCGGCTCGACGTAGGGCCCAATTCGCTTCACGTCGACGTCGCCGATGCATGGCCGACGTCGACGATGCATCGCCGGTGCATCGCCGATACATCGCCGATGCATTGCCGGTGTATCGGCGAGGCGGCGCGACCCTCCGACCCCATCTACTCCGACCCCATCTAGGAGGCCTCTAAGGGCGCTGCGCAGGGGAGCGGGGAGCGAGGGGGAGGGCGCAGCAGATTGGCGCGAGCTCTCTCTCCCCCCCCTTTTTCAGTTGAGCGGAAGATCGGGACAAATCGGAGCCAGAGATTCTGGGAGAGTTCCAGAGAAAAATAAAACGCCGACTTGTGGAGCGTAGCGCGCGCATTCGCAGAAGTTCCCAAAGAATGTTCGAGGGCTTGAGGAGCCCAAGTAACACATGGGCGCTCAATTAAACTGTTGATGGCGGGCAGAAAATCTGGTGTGTACGAGCATTGTGGGCGGGTGCGCGGCTTGCACGGGGGGCACAGTAGGTTTGCGTTTCAGGGGCTTGCGCGCTGGCCAATGCGCTGATGGGAGGTCCGAGAATGCGTCACATATATTACGCCTGTGGCGCCATGGAGGCCGCATTTGCGGTTGCAGTTGGGCGGGCGCCCCGCCGCGCGCACCGTGGCGACAGCTCTCTTGGGCGCCCGCCCGCCGCCGTGGACGTAGTGGACCCAGCTAGTCTCTCGGTCGGCGCGCGGCGTGTCGGCAGCCACGACGCTGGCGGCCTGAAAATGCTTCGAAAGTGTTTCTCCCCGAGCCCGGGGCTATTGTACGTTTTCGGTGGCACGCGCAGCTCGGGGAAAAATCGCCTGGTCCGTCGGCGGCCAGTTGGCTGTCGTCGCGCAGAAGTGCCGGCGGATGGCGCGGTCCGCGCTCAGCGCAGAGAGCGTGTCCATGAGCGTGGACTCGTCGAGGGGCAGGAGGAAGGACTTCGCTGTCGGGACCATCGCGGCCCGCGATGTCCACGGCCCCCACCCTGGGCGCGCGAGGACCTGCTGGGCGCCGCCGCAGCGCGATTTCAGAGGATCTCGGAACCAGAAATCCGGGCGCGCCAAATTTCGCGGGCCGAAAAACTCTCAGAGAGTTTCGGCCAGCTCCGAGGTTTTGGGTTTATGGGAATGTTTCACGCGGGGTGGCTAGTTCAGAGATTTTCAGAGATTTTCAGAGAAGTTCGGACGCGAGAATTTGGCGCGCCCCGGTTTCTGGTTCTGCGAATCTCTGAAAAGCGGTTCCTTAGGTTTTACCGGGTCTCCAGGCGTCCTACTGTCAGCCAGAGACGAGCGATTGGCTGGCGCTGCGCCCGATGCTTCCGGAGTTGCGAACTCGGTATTCGATTCCCTAGGGCCCGCGGGCCCCTGGGCCAATTGCGAGGTTGCCGAGGCCCCCAGGCGGTTGCGCGCGATTGTCTCGGAAACCGGATTTGGGCATCCATGGTGGACGCCCGCGCGCACGCGCTAGGTGTCGACGAGATTGTTCGGTGGCGGATCTTGCATGGCGCGGGGATTTTCCAAAGACTTTCCAGGGTGTTCTCTACGGTTATTTCGGCGCGCTTCGGGAACCTTGGGGCGGCGCGGGGAAGTCGCCTGGCCGCGCGCGTGACTTTTTTTCCAATGCCTTCTTGGGCATTATCGCGGTGTTGCTTGGCCGACGAGGTCACTGAGTAACGCGATGTTTGACATGTTCGTGTTTTTTCGTTGCGTTGGTTGCGTGATTGTTTTGGCGGTCCGCCTCCTTGGGGCCCCCTTTGGGCCTCAAGTTTGTTTTGTTGACGTTGGGCCTTCTGGAGTGAAAGGCGCTTGGCGCTGAATTCCCTCGGTCGTGCGCGTGGCCAAATACGCGCCGTGGCTTCATCCGCGCCGGGGCGCTTTTCTTCCCTCGCGAAGCCGATGGCGCCCAAGGCGTGGCAGGCCCGTTCGGCGGCGCCCCCGGTGATTTGAAAAACCGAGCATGATTTTTATCCCGGTCAAATTTTGCCCCGATCCCGGCTTCATCTTACTTTTCCTTGCCAGCCTTTCCCTCCTTTCGGATGCAACTCCTGGGAGGTCAAATTCTCACCCTGCCCTGGTCCGACATCCAGTTTCATCCCGCCTAATCCTCCTAGTGTGTTTTGGAAACGCCCTGGGCGTTTCTTTCTAGTTTCTAGCTTCTGTGTCTTGTGAGCCAACAGCGGGCACCTGGAAACAAATTACAAACGAACCTTAGAAAGTAACAAAAACGTTTCCGCGCGATCAGTTGACAACTATTTCTAAACGAGTCGGCGCAAGCTGGAAACGGTAAGGACACGCCCCCTCTGGAAACTATAAAACACGGGAAGGTGAACAAGCGACATAAAACGAGAGTGCCGATGATAATGACTACGGGGCGGGCGGCGCAGCGGGCATCAGCAGCAACGAGCAGTGGCAGCAGGCAGTAGCAACAGGCAGTAGCAGCATCAGACACCATAGGAGGAAGGTGGCGGCTGCAGTGGGCAGGAGGTGCAGCAGAGAAGCTGTTTGGAGAGAGTGTCGAACTCTGATCGTGCGTTACCTGTCGGTCGCTGTCGGACCCACCGGAATTGGGGCTTGGAAACTCGTTGGAAACGTATTGGAAACGGTCTCAACCAAGCATTTTCGACCCTTGGCCCAGGGGAAGCGGAAACATTGAGGATGTCGCCGCCGCCGCTGAGGCCGCCGTTACGACGCCGATGCCGCCGTTATGACACCGACGATGTCTCCGGCTCTGACGCGCACGGGATCGGACAGCGATTGACAGGCAACGCACGATGAGGGCTCAGAGAAGCCGTTTGGAGAGAGCGTGTCGAGTTCTTATCGTGCGTTGCCTGTCAATACCGGATATGGCACAGCACGTTGTGAGGCAGACCTGGAAGCGATGAAAAAACGAAGTTGGAAACTGTAGCAAACACGGCCCCGTGGATTGACATTGGAAACGATCAAAAACGCATCGCCGCGGGGACCTGGAAACGATGAACAGGAGCCAGAAACTATTTCAAAAAACGCCCAGATCGCTTCAAAGACACACTAAGCTAATCCTGCTCAATTCGAACTTTATCCCGTCTGATCCCGCTCAATTCCGGATACATCCCGTTTAATCCGAGGCCCAATCCGGCGCAACGGCCCCCCCATGGGGCATCATTTTCCGTAGCCCTTCCGACGATAGTTTCCCACCAGTTGCTTCCTAGAACCTCCTCTCTGCCGTCGGTGGTGGCGGGGGGAGGCCCTCGCCTGGAGAGCGGCGCCGCCGCGGCGCACGCGGCCTCGGCGAAGCTGCTGCTGCTGGGGGCGCTGCTCCGCTGGGCGCGCCGCGCCGTGCCGGAGGAGGCGCCGGGCGCGCCCGCACCGCGCGGCCTGCGCCAGGACGATCGAGACGGGTGCGGAAAGAATGGGTGGAGTGCCAAGCAGCGGCTCCTGTTCACTTCGGACAGGGCTCGCAGTCCGCGCCGCCGCGGCCTGTGTCCATTTGAGAGAAGGCCGCCTGCCCAACAGCGGCCGCTGTTGATTCGGAACAAGTTTTGTTGTCGGGCATTGTGCCCATGTTTTCCGTACCCATGTCGGGCGTCCAAAGCAGAGCGCGCAGCGCGATCGGGCGCAGGCTTCGCCCTCGTGCTCGACGAATGTCAGGCGATCGCAAGCATGGATCAAGGGGGCGTGGAGCAGCGACGGGATCCGTTTCCATTAGGAATCGCGCATTTCCGCCGCCGAACGAGGCGGCACTGGCCGCATTTCGGGGAGGGTACCTCTCCCGATCCATGGATTTGGCGACCGCGCGCCAATCCCATGGATCGCTAATCCATGTCTGCGCGCCCCCCAGACATGGGCCAGTCTGGGCCTCGTGAGGGTTGCTCCGGAGGCGCGCGGGGGGCTCCCTGGAGATCCTGGGGACACATTGGGCCAGGGATACCTTCTGGCAATGCCCGAGAGGCAGGGAGGGAGGGGGAGGGGGGAGGAGGTACGACATCTGCTGCATGCAGCTGGTTCCGACCCCGACGCTGGGCGCGTTCCTCTATGCACTGGCTCTTCCGGCGCGGGGAAAATCAGTTTCGTTAGCCTTTTCTTGTACTTAACACCCCTTTCGTCCGACCCGATCTCCCTGGGAGTCGAGGATATTCAAATTGCATAGCACACGAACTCGGATCGGCGGAAGTTCTTGGATCGGCGTCGCGCGGAGTGCGCCAGGCGCGGCGCTGGAGCTCCCGCCAAGGGGGTCCAGCGCCGATCCAAGAATTTAGAATTTTGTACAGATCTCCGAAAGTCAACGTTCACGCATTCCCCGAACAGCGCTTGCACTTCGGGGTCCTCTATTGTGTCACTTCGGAATTGCATAGGTCCAGCGAGGATTTTCCAGAATGCCGTCTGTGGCCGCCTCGTCGCCCAACGCAGGAGAACGCAGCCCTTGCCGGGCGCGAGCTGCGCCGTGCTGCCCGCGATGTGCTGTCTGATGCGCTGGGCCGTGTGTGTGTGTGTGTGCAGGCGAGGCGTCATCCTTGTCGTCATCCTTGTGGTAATCGTTCTCAGCATCATGGTCCACATCACCATCGTCATCATCAGCATCAGCATCATCAGCATCAGTACCATCATCACCATCATCATCAGCATCATCATCACCACAATCACTCTCACCATCACCATCACTACCATCGTCATCACCATCATCATCATCATCACCATCACCATTACCAGTACCACCATCACCAGCATCATCATATCATCACGGTTGCCATCATCAGCATTGCCATAATCAGCATTGTCATCAGTATCATTGTCATCACAACCACCACCATAATCATCATCATCACCATCATCATCATCATCAGCATCATCATCGCATTCATCATCATCATTGGCATCGTCATAGTCATCGTCGTCATCATCTTCGCCATCTTCATCTTCATCATGACCATCGTCACCTTAATCGTCATCATCATCAGCATCATCATCACCATCAACATCGTAATCCTCTTTCTCGTCTCTTTCTCCTCCTCCTCGTGATCATCATCAGCATCATCATCATCATCGTCGTCATCATCATCATCGCCTCCATCTTACCCCATCTCTCCTGATCGATCCTCCTCCTCATCCCACGCTCCTCTTCCTCTTCCTCCTTGCATTGGCGACCGAAACGAATGACGACGACCGGTGACGATGCACCCAACATATAATCGAAGAGGCCTCCAAGACGGCTTGAGAGGGGCCCAAGAGGATCCCTCAGGATCCCCAGGATTTCATGAGAAGTCCACATGTGACATGAGGATTCTTCAGAATTTCTTTGGATTCTCTTGGAACCTTTGGATTCCGGAGAACTCCTCAGAATTCCTTTGGACTTTTCAACAGCGTGTCAGAGCACGTGTTCAGAGATGTACGGGCAAAGTGGGGAAAGCAAATATTGGAATTGGGATGCACGTGGCGGACAAGATTTGTTTGTCAAATTTTCGTTTGGTTGATGATCTGATATGTGTCGCTTCTTCATTCAATCACGTGTCAAAAATGATTGCACATCTCAGCACCGAGGCCGCTGCCGTGGGGGTCCAGTTACACCCCGACCAGACGAAGATCCTACACAATGCTTTTTGGATCTGCTAGAGGACGCGGGTACCCAAACCAGTTTCCATCAACGGAACGGTGATTGAGGCTCTCGACGTGCAGGCGCACGCCAAATATTTGGGTCGCAAGTTGTCGTTCTACGAGCCGAACAAGGTCGAGATTGAAAACCTTGCCTTTGCGCGGCGCAAATTCCATGTATCGAGACAGGAACTCGGCGGAAAACGATATTCTTTACATGACCGGCTACGCTTGTTTAGTGGAGCCGTAACGCCAACAATCTTGTATGGTTGCGAAACGTGGACAATGACACAGGAATTGCAGAACCGAGCGAAACGAGCACAACGCCAAATGCTACGAAAGATTATCCAGTTACCTCTGCACGTTTTGGGACGGCGAGAATAACCATCTGGACCGCAAGATCGTACAGGCAGCGTGCGCAGCACAAACAAGGGGTCGGACGTGGCCAGTGCTCTTGCAGAAGACGGCGCGCAGCATCAACGACATGAGGGTGAAGCAGCAAATTACACAACCAATTTGGATTTTTTTGATGGACTAGGTAAAACGAAGCACATGGGAAGCAGAAGCAACATTTGGGTAGTCTTGGGATAGACGACCGCATTCAACAACAACGGCACCGGAACTGGAAACGGTTTCAGCATGAGGCACAATCGATTTCTTGCGACTGGATGCGCCAGGTATTGACGTGGGTCCCGTCAGAACTTTCCAAGTCGATCGCCCAGAGGCGCCAAAGCAGGCCAAAACGAAAATGCTTGGATGACATCCTGAGTTCCGCCTTAATTTTTGTCTGACAGGTTCCACAGCGAAGCAACGACAGGACTGACTGAGGCCCGCTGCGTTCAAGACGCCGCCCCTTCTCTGATGAAGCTCGCTTGCCCTAGCACGTGGGTCGGTCTTGAGGGCGATGCTGTAGATTATTCTATTTCCCGGACGCGTTCTGGTAGTGCTGTATAATCGTTTTCTGTGTGTTTCGGCCCCACCCTGCAGCGTCATCGCGGCGTTCCAAGCAGGTCGCAGTTCGCAGTTCTTCAAATTGTTTCCGGATTCCTGACCCCCGGAGCTCCTTGAGGAACCATGAGGATGCATAAATGATCCCCGAGGGTGCCTGAAGATTCCTGGAAATGCCTGCGCAGCCCAGAGCCTGGGATCCTTGAGGTTCCTTCGCGGTCCATGGGGGTCCCTCAGGATCCCACTGAATGTCTCTGAGGATTTCCCAGGATCCTTAAGGATTCTCCTTGAGTGTTCCGAAGGATTCTCGGGGACCCCCGAGGGCCCCTGAGTGGGCGGGCGGCGGGGCGCAAAGCGGTTGACACAGAGCGCCATCAGGAAAATGACCCTTTCCCCCCCCCTCTCGTAGGATGGTGTGGCTTCAGCTGGAGAATGTTTGAGAGAAGCTCCAATGTTTCTTTACGATTCTTATTGGATTCTGGGCGATATGATTTCGAGGATTCATGATGATCCTCGAGGACCACTACAGATTCACGAGGACCCTTCGGGATCCATGAGGAGTCCTGAGGATTTCTGCCCTCCGATTCCTTGGGATCCCTGCAATTTCTTGAGGATCCGTTTCCTTCTGGATCACCAAGAATCCCTGCGTATTCCTTTTGTTTCCTCGGATCCTTGTAGGTTCGTGCGGATTCCTTGGGGATCCTGAGGACCCCCGAGGATTCAGAGGTTTTGCTAGGATTCGTAAGGATTCCTGGAGAGTCCCGAGGAATCCCCATCATCCCCGAGCGTCCCTGGTAGTTCGTGGGAAGTCAGGAGGTTCCTGTGGGACTCCAAAGAGTATTTGCAGATTCTGGAGGTTTTTTTTGCGAGTCCGAGGCGTTCCACGTGTTCCCGAGGAGATCCAAAAAAGGTTCTTGAAGAGTCATAAAAATTCCTGCGGATGTGAAAGGGTCCCTGAGAACTCCTAATGACTCTAGATTGGCATTCCTCCAGCTGCCTGACAAGTCCTAACTATTCCTAAAGGTCCCAGGGAGTTCCTACATATTCCGTCGGAGTTCCACCGATACCAAGACATTCTTCGAGATGCCCAGGGACTCCTGAGGGCACCTGAGAAAGAGCGTCTTAGAAGCTGCCAAGGGGCGCCTGGAAAACTATCGTGGAGCCCCTTTTTCAAGCTGCCGTGGAACGCTTTAGAAACTGCCTTCGAGTCTGGCAATGGGCGCTTTAGAAATTGTCAAAGGGACGCCTTCCAAACAAACTGCCAAGGATCTTTCGGGCAAGGTTTTGAAGCTTCCAAAGCCTCATCATTTTCAGAACCTACAGCCAGGGAGTGGACCAGTTCACCATGGCATGGACTAGTATACAACGTAGCTCCTTACCCAGGGGAAGAATTGCTCAAATACTTGCCAGAAAAAAGGTTTCTCCCCAAACGGATGCCACAAAGGCATCTTTGGTACACGATTTGCCCTTTTGTTGTGCTCCACCCACTGCTACACGAGGCCCTTCCCCCAGTTGTTTTAGGAAGCGATCTTGGTTCTAGACGCGCCCCTCTGCTGCGCATCGCCAGCTGCTAGGTGAGTTTTCTCCGCAAGCAGGTTCGTTAAGCATCCTTGGTGTTGGAGGTGCGAGACGGAGTCGTTCCCCAAGCGACCCCGAGGCGTTTGGAGGTTCCCAGAGGCGTCGAGTTTTTGTTGCGTGCTGGGGGAGGGACTCTCCGAACCCTCCAAGAAAATACCTGAAGGTTTTTGGTGGGGGTCTAAAGTGGGGACAACCCGCCCAACCTTTCCAACAACCTCCCTGAGGGGGTGGTGCCGGGCAACCTCCAACAATACATCCTCAGAATGGTTTGTGGGGGGTCCGGAAAGAACGTCCCCAGGGGGGGGCGTCCTGGGTAGAACACCTCCCTAAACCTGCCTCAAAGAGGGTTCCGGGGGTTTTGTTCAAGGGGGGCTCTCCGAATCTAGGGATTCTCCTAGCCCGGCAAGGGGAACCCCCTAACCCCCAAAAGTTCTTTGAGGAGGGTTTCTGGTGTTTTTGTGCAGTTCGTCCTAGGAATCTGCTTATTCCCCAATCAGAGCTTGCCTCTGTAGGGGTCCTAGCGGACTCATAAGGTTGGGTGAAGTGCGTCTGGAATTTTCCCGAGTGTTCAGGTGCCCAGGGTGCTTCGGGAATTCCCCCGGGTGACCAGGAGCCTTTAGCCCTATAGCCCTATAGTCTTATAGCCCTATAGCCCCATAGCCCTATAGCGCAATAGCCCTATAGCCCTATAGCCTTATAGCCTTGTAGCCATACAGCCTTATAGCCCTATGGCCCTATAGCCCTACATACCCATAGCCTTGTAGCCCTATAGCCCAATCACCCAATCGCCCTATAGCCCTACAGCCCTATAGCCATATAGCCCTGTAGCCTTATAGCCTTGTAGCCTCATAGCCCTATAGCCCTATAGCTCTATAGCCCTATAGCCCAATAGCGCTATAGCCCTGAAAATATTATGTTTTGGTTTTTCTACAGTACCAGGTCTTATGATTTTCTCCCGACTACTGTTGTTTTCAGCTGTGCGGAGGCGGTGCCCCCCCAACCCCGCCCCCTGGGCCCGGACCCCCAGCATCCCCACGGGCGAAAACCGTGAGGGGGGGTCGGTTTTTTGTTCCAATAGGGGTGCTCAGGTCGGAGCAGTTGAACGACCTGCTCAGGTCGAAGCAGTTTTACGACCTGCGTAGGTTGAAGCCCCTGGAACCTCCCACACCATTTTCATTGTAGACTATAGGGGGTCAGCATTTGCAACCGAATGCGGCCCCGCCCCGCTGGATATCCGAAGAACTCACGAGCGTGGACACCACACCGCCCGTCCCGCCTGGGCCGCTGCCTACCAGCGAGGCCTTCGTGGTCGTTTCGGGCTTCACGCGGTCGCTCAGGCGAGGCGGCCTGCGGAGGAGCAGGAGGAGGATTGAGAGGCCGGCGACAACTGGGGAGGAGGGAGTGAGGCGAGGGAGGAGGCAGGATGGGGAAGGATGGGGTGGAGGAGGGCGAGGAAGACGAAGTCGAACTCGACCAGGGGGGGCCGGTCGAGGACGAGGACGAAAAGGCAAGATCGAGGAGGGATGTTCCAGGGAGCGAGGTGCACGGAGCGAGTAGCGCGTGAGGCAGGTCGCGGCGGCGGGAGGCAAAACGAGGGGGATGTGCGGGAGAAGTGGGTCGGCAGCGATGGGCGCGCCCTGCTCGAGGGAAGACCGGGGCCTGGTTCCAGACCCCCGTCGAACCGGGCCAAGTCCTCGGCGGTGTCGGCCCTCGGGTCAGCAAATGTGTTGTCCTTCTCTGGCTGCTCACGACGAGCTTCCTGGGAGACAGTCGCGCCGAGTGGTGGGAGTCTCGTCTGCAGGCTTTCGCTTGCAGTTGACAGCGGCACCTCCAAGTCTGAGAAGCATAGGCCCCTCAAGTAGAGCACCAAATGGAGGGTTCCGTCCTCTGGAAGGCATGCCGCCCCCAAACAGATTCCGGTCACCAGCGGAATAGGAGGAGGATTGAGAGGAAGGTTGCAGCATGGAGGAGAGGAGGGAGGATGAAAGAGGTTGAGCAGGGGGGGTGGGAGAAGGAGGTGCCTCCACTGGGTTCCAGCAGGCATCCAGGTGCGTCAAGGGGCGGGAATGGGCCTCCATCGAGGCATCCGCGGGCGGCCATAATTGTTTCCAATGGGCTCCCAGGGCAACCACACGAAGACTCATCCCCGCCAAAAATGTCTGCCAGCCGAGCCCATGATCGCTGAATGACTCCAGGATGGGTCCAATGTAACCTTATGGCCCCAACATGCCACCAACACAGCCAGGTGACCAGAAGTAAGATGAAGCCGATGCCACCCTTTGACCCCGAGTTGACCCTAAGATGGTCTGATGCATCAACACGAACGCGATATGGACTAACATTATTGCAATATGACCCCACGTTGACCCAATAATCCAAACATGACTCAGGATGATGGTCCTACTATGGCTCCAAAGTGAGCCCGCGAGGAGGTAGGGGATCGCGACCAGAGGAGTAACCCCAAGCCGCCTAGAGGGCGGAATCTGGAATGTGGGACCTTGTCGGGCTTTCTGAAACCTTCTCAAGGTAACATTAAGCAGAGACTATTTGGTGCCAAGCCGCGTACGTACAACTTTCGTTTGTCTTTTACGGTTTTGTTATCGCTTTAGCTGTCCCTCAGCGTTTTTGAGGGCTCATGTTGACGCCTCTTGGATGTTGCGTGCGGCGTATTGCAGCCCCTGGGGGGCCGGTGCGCTGCCTTTTGACCAGATTGGGCATTATTGGGCTGGCATTGTTGCCGTCGAGTCGAGTCTCGGTGACGCCTTTGGGGGATCTTGGTTCACCTCAGGGGTGCGCCCCTCCAAACCACAGGAACGTGCCCTCAGCCGACAGGTGTTCTGTCGCGTTACCCGAGGGAGGGAGAACGCTTGCGCAACACCTGTCGCGTTCTTGTGTGTCCAGCCTAGATATAGGATTGTATGTGTGTGTGTGTGTGTGTCATTGTTGATGCTGATGCTCGTTCCTCGTCATGTGCCTCCTCCGGGCCATCAATCGTTTGATTCAGGCCATTTGGTCCGAGCCATCCCGTGACCGATCCGTCCTGGACCTTGTGGATTCCCAGCCATCTGTCAACGGCTGCGGGGACTGCCCCGCGACCGATCCAGCGAGGATGATCTACCTCTTCCAGGGCATGCAGGCGATCTGCTCGCTACCGGGCACGCTCTGCAGAGCTATCGGGGAACTCTTCAATATGTGTCACTGCCGTATATGCAGAGACGCGTGCCTCGAGGCCAGTAAGTGTGTCCACCAATTTATGTTGGAAACCTGCAATTCTACAACACCAGATGTTAGCCAGCGTGGACCCCAGACGTTGCAATATATGCGATACAATCCATGCGGTGCACTCTGTGTGGTGCAATCCATGTGGTGCAATCGATGTGGTTCCATCTATGCGGTGGAACCTATGCAATGCAGTCTTTGCGGTGCAATTTACGCGGTGTCTTTTGTGTAATTCAATGTGCGCTGTGATATATATAAATATATATATATATATATATATATATATATATATTTATTTATATGCATGCATGTATGTATGTATGTACATATACATAGATGTGTGGTGCACTCTATGTGGTTCAATCTACGCGGGCAACTTATGCAATGCAATATATGTGGTGCAATCTATATGGTGCAATCTATGTGGTGCAATCCACGCGGTGCAACCTGTGCGATGCAGTCTATGCGGTGCACTCTTATGTGGTGCAATTAATTTCTGTTCGCACTGAGTTGCCCACTCCACTGCTCGCGCAAACATCGCACCCACCCACCCGCAACTTGGTTTGCTAACCTCATGCGGCGGCGATTGCGATGAGTGCTTGGCGCTGGCTGGTGCATCTCTGCGGCCGCGCCAGCCCGCGCATGCACGCGCGCGCAGCGGCCAGGTAGTTTGGCGCGACCGACGCGGCCGCGGTGGTGATGACCGCTCGGCACATCCCAGCGGGCACTGGTGTGCGAGTCGGCGACTTGGGCGGGCGCGGTATCATGGCAACGTCGACAATGGTAGACACGATGATGATGATGCTGACGATGATGATGATGATGATGATGATGATGATGAAGATGCTGAAAATGATGATGGTGATGGTGATGGTGATGGTAGCGGTGGTGGCGGCTATGCTTACGGCGACGACGGCGCGGCCAGTGACGGTGCCGATGCCGATCACGCCGACGAGGCAGGTGATCGCGGTGATGCTGACTCAGTTGAAAAGGAAACCCGCCCGCGCGGAAGTTCACCAAACCCGTCACACTGATAATGCGCGCGCGGCGGTGCGCGCAAGTGGCCCGCGTGGCATTTGTTACAAAGGATTCGCGCTCCCGGCTCATGGCAGGAGTATCGCGGGTGCACCGCGCGGTGACATGAAATCGCTGGATTTGGCAGAATTCAGATTGCACCCGCAGGACACGAACATAAAACCGATAAACCGATCAACCGATAAACTATTTCGGTTGATCGGTTTATCGGCAGATCGACCGATAAACCGATATGATTATATCGGTTTATCGGTCGATCTGCCGATAAACCGATCAACCACTAAACCGACTCATCGCATGCGTGCCCGAATCTCAGCACAGTTTGGCTTTATCAGTTTATCGGTTTATCGGTATATCGGATGTTTCAGTTTATCGGTTGATCGGTTTATCGGCCCGGCGTTGTCGTGGTTGTCCAATGGGTAATCCTTCGAAATTATCTCTCCTCTTCCTCCTAGTCCTCCCCTTCCTCTTCCTCCTAGTCCTCCTCCGCCTCCGCCTCCTCCCTCCTCCTCCTCCTCCCTCTTCCTCCTCCTCCCTCCTCCGTTCCGATCCTCCCTCCCTCCCTCCCTCTCCTCCCTCCCTCCCTCACTGGCCCCGACGCCCATGGTTCTCCTAGTCCTCCCTCCCCCTCTTCCTCCTAGTCTCCTCCGCCTCCCCTTCCTCTTCCTCCTAGTCCTCCTCCGCCTCCGCCTCCTCCTCCTCCCTCCTCCTCCTCCTCCTCCTCCCTCCTCCTCCTCCTCCTCCTCCTCCTCCTCCTCCTCCCTCCTCCGTTCCGATCCTCCCTCCCTCCCTCTCCTCCCTCCCTCCCTCACTGGCCCCGACGCCCATGGTTCTGCGCGCACAGGGCCGCGGCCCCCGTGAGCCCCTTCTCGGCGTTCCAGCTGACCACCATTCCTGGGGAGCTCGTCCTCCCTCCCTCTTCCCCTTCTGCCCACACTCTCACATCCGTCCCCCATTCCCCTCCCTTGTTCCCCTCCCCTCCCTCTTTCGGATTGGGGAATTTCGAATTTCCTGTCTCCTCCTCTCCCAGGCCCAGTACCCAGGCCCATCCAGAAAAAAAAAAAACTGGAAAAGGGGGAGGGCGGGAAGGAAAGATGGAGGGAGGGGGGGTTGGATTCGATCCGGGAAGGGGCATTTGAGAAAAGAGGGGATGGAGGGATGGAGGGAATAGGGATGGGGGAGGGGGATTGGAGTTGGGAAGGAGGGATGGAGGGGGGAGTGGCGGGGGGAGGGCGGGGTTTGTGGGAAGCAAAATCTGGCGGGGCATTTCGGGCTAGGACGTTTTCGGTTTCTACAGCGCTTTGGCGGGGGTGCCTCCAGCTCCCCCTTCCTCTCCTTCTCTGGGCTTTGGGGGGGTCGCATTTCCCCTCTCCTCCTCCCCCATCCTCCTTCTCCTTCCCCCCTCGGTCTTAGCCGTATCAGGTTATCATTGTAGCGCGAGCTGCGGCGAAAGCTGCTGGCGTCGCGTGTCCCATTGCGGATCCGGGCGCAACTCTCAGCCACGCGCGGCGGCCCGCACGATAAACCACCCGGGCGTTTGAACCAACGGGACGTCGTCATCGTCTGCTCTTTGTGCGGCCGGCGAGTCGGGAAGCCATGCTGGGCCACCCATGTGAGGGATTGTGTCAGCGCTTCCTCTGCGCTCGCGGTTGAGCCGCAGTGGTTGGGCCTTGATCCCAACCGTGCGCCAGTTCAGTGCGTTGCTCAAGGACTTCCTGTTGCCCTTCGCGCCGATATGAAGATAGCGGGGGATAAACTGAAACAGTGCTACCTCCAGATGGGGCAAGCCTTCGTGCCCGACCCCCACATCAGCGGGGCTTGCTACACTTGCGGTTGGAGTTTCTTCAAAGGTGCGTGGATGGGGCCCGAGGGTTGCAGCGTCGGCGCGCTGTTCCTCTGCGCCGCGTTCATCGACTCGCTGTTCGAGACGAAGGCTTTGACGGACGCGGCGCAATTCATGGCCAACGTGGGCATGGATTCTAGCAAGCGCTTGCCACATTCCCGTTAGCTGTCTGGCCCAAGGTGGGAGTGCGTTCGTGCAGCGGGGTGAGAATTACTGCCATTCCAAGCGGCCGGCGCCCGG